CAGACCAGCATTATAAAAAAATTCCAAAGAAAGTTCTTTCAGTGGAAAGTAAATAACATCAAAGAAAAACTCTCCTTTAGGAAGGAATAGAAAGCCCTGGAAATGGAAAATGTAAAGAAACATTAAATTCTTCTCTTGCTATGTTGCCCAGGCTGGAGATAAAGGCAAAAAAAATTTTTTTTCTCTAAATTTATTTGCTTTTTTTTTTTATTTTTGAGACAGAGTCTCACTCTGTTGCCTGGGCTAGAGTGCCATGGCGTCAGCCTAGCTCACAGCAACCTCAAACTCCTGGGCTCAAGGAACCCTACTGCCTCAGCCTCCCGAGTAGCTAGGACTACAGGCATGCGCCACCATGCCCGGCTAATTTTTTCTCTCTATATATTTTAGCTGTCCAATTAATTTCTTTCTATTTTTGGTAGAGATGGGGTCTCGCACTCCTGAGCTCAAACGATCCACCCGCCTCAGCCTCCCAGAGTGCTAGGATTACAGGCGTGAGCCACCACGCCTGGCCTCTAAATTTCTTTAAAATACACATGACTGCTTAAAGCAAAAACTCTCAACATTGTCTAGTAGGTTTAAAACAAAGGCGGATATAATACACACCACATCTATACCTCAAAGAGGGAGTTCTCACCCATAGGGGCTTTCAACCTGTGGCAATTCTGCCCCCAGGGGACACTTGGTAAGGTCTGGAGACATTTTCTATCTATTGAAGGGGCGCTACTGGTATCTAGCGGGTGGAGGCCAGGGATGCTGCTAAGTGCACAGGACAGCACCCTCTGACCCCCCAGAATATCAGCAGTGCCGAGGCTGAGAAACCCACCTTAAAGGACCAGGGAGGAGGTGGTAAATGGAGGTATGTGGTTGCAAGGTTTCTGTAGTATGTGTTATGGGAAGTGGTACAAGATTAACTCCAAGCAGGCTGTGAAGTGAAGGATGTATACTGCAATCTCTAGAGCAACCACTAAAAAAATAATGCAGAGGCAAAGTCAAAAAGCCAATAGCTAAATAAAAATGGAATTCTAATAAGTATTTAAATAACCCAAAAGAAGGCATTCAGAAAGGAGGAACAAAAAACAAAAAACAAAGGCAATAAACAAATGAAATAATAAAATGGTAGCTCCAAATCCAAACACATATCACTACAGCCACTAAAATGTTAAAATACTAGTTACCCTTAAGTTCCTGATCTCTAGCTCCTGATGGTGTAGAGCTTAAACGCACACTACCCAAATGGCCTGAAAGCACTCTGCTCCACTGAGAAACTAACCAAAACTCTGTTTCCAAGCCAATGAATTCTGCAGACTCAGGGTGGAGGCAACTCGGGAACCTCCTCAAAGAGCAGCTTTCCTAGCCCAAGCCAGGCATGAAACCGTTCAAAAATAACCGAAAATGAGGTTTTATTAGCCAAAATTTATAAAATCCACAAGGAATTCCACTGCCAAGAGAAAATCTAGAAGTAGAACAAACAGGACAGACTTGACACAGAGTTCAGAAACAGAAGATTTTTTTTTTTTTTTTTGAGACAGAGTCTCACTCTGTTGCCCGGGCTAGAGTGCCATGGCATCAGCCTAGCTCACAGCAAC